GGAGATAGAGTTCTGCGAGGGCGTCGAGCTCGAAGAAGTCCTCGGGGAGAGAGTTGAGGGCGGCGTTGTGCGAGAGGGTGAGCACGCGCAGGCGGGTCATGCAGCGAATGCCGGGCGGGAGGGTGCGGATGCGGTTGTGCGACAGGTCGAGCTTCTCGAGGGCCGACAGCGACGAGAAGAAGTGGTCCGGGACGGTGGCCACGTTGTTATGCGAGATGTCCAGCGCCCGGAGTGACGACAGCGACATCACCACATCCGGAATGCTGTCCTCCGCTGCCAATGCATAATTTACATTCCAATCATTTTAGCCACATTCCTTGTGCGTGTGCGTGTGCGTGTGCGGAAATACCTTTGGGATCGCAGAACTGGTTGTGTGAGATGTTGAGGGTGGTGAGGGCGGTGAGGTTGAAGAGGTGCGGCGGGAGCTGGGAGAAGGCGTTGTGCGAGATGTCGAGGTGGGTGAGCGACTGGGCCACGGACGGCGGAAACTTCTCGAGGTACCACAGCTTGTTGTGGGAAATGCTGAGCTCGGTCAGGTGCGCGAAGTGGGGCAGCGCGTTGACGAGGTGGAGCGGCAGGGAGGTCATCAGGTTGTTGGACAGCCGCAGGCAGCGCAGCGTGGACAGCGGGCCCAGGTAGAGCGAGACGGTCGAGAGGTAGTTGTGCGAGAGGTCGAGCGAGTGGAGGTAGGGCAGCGCGAGGATCTGCTTGGGGATGGCGTGCAGCGCCCGACTGCTAAAGTCCAGCGTCACGCCCTCGTTGGCCTTTCCGCCCGGTCGGCCTACATTATAAATTAGAAATATATAGATATAGATATGTTAAAACAATGTAATTATGTAATTGATCAAATATTTGGCTGTGGGGAAATAAAAGTTGTCTTGAGAAGGCGCTGCGTACTGTCGAGGTAGTCCTTGAGGACGTGGATGTCTTTGATGGCCCGCTCTGCGGGCGCGTGGCATGCCCACCGCAGGTAATACTCTGTGCAACACAAAAGTGTGAGACAAACAACACGACACATGCACAACACGACACGCACACAACACGACACACGCACACAACACGCGAGAAAGGGCAAGTGTGGAGGGAGTTGGTGCCACAAGCGTACCGGACCAGAACTTGACCTGGGACGGGTGGGGCGCCAGCGGAGCGGCAGAGGAGGCGCTGTAGAGGGGATTCATGAAGTCAAACTTCTTCAAGTCGACGTAGGACCAGATCGAGGTCGTCTTCTGCATCAGCTGCTGCTTGCCTGAGTGCACGAATCGTCGAGAGAAGCCAGTAATGATAAGAATGTAAAAAAAAGAGAAGAATTTCATAATATTTGAAATAGTGTTTTGTGATGAAAGACGGGTACCTGTCTTGCGCTCCTTCTCGGTGTCGGCCAAGAAGGTGCCGAAGCGGGCGCTGTGGAGGGCGTCGATGAGGAAGATGAGCAGCGACGAGTCGAACTCGAACAACTGCGGCGACTGGTCCCACAATTGCCATACTGCACGAACGACACGCGCGCACTCGGCGAGTCAGTTTATGTCGCGGCTGTCAGCAGCGCAGAGAAATGGAAGGGGAGCAGACCAGCATCGATGAATTGCACGAAAATGTGGGCGTGTTGCTTGGGCAGATATCTTCCCTTGCTGCTCTGGCGCCACTTGTGACCTGCGCGTGTGGTACGCACACGGTTGGTTGGTTGGTCGTCAGTCGCTGGCGTGACGATTTACAAATCGGAGCAGCAGTTGCAGGTGTGGCGCACGTACTGAAGCTCATCCACTCCTTCTCGATGAGGCTGCAGAAGCCTCGGAGCGTCCGGAAGTACGGATCCAAACACAGCTGGACGAGACAGGCAACCTGCGGGACCCAATCGCTTCCCTCTGCTCCCTGCAGTACCACCTGTTGCGTGCAAGTCAGCATCACGTGTCACACCACCTGGGTGGATGGTACGACAACACGCACGCACACACACACACACACACACAGGGTCTGAACACAACATACGGGGTCGCCGAGTTGCAGGAGGGCGATGACGCGGGAGGCGGCGTCCATGAGCTTCTTGATGCCGGAGAGCCACTGCGTGCGCTCGATCTCGTTCTCCCAGCCCTCCTTCATCATCCGCTTCTTGGCCTCGAGGGCCTTGCACCTCCTCCTCCTCCTCCTCCTGGGTGGCGGCCTCCTCCGAGGCCCGCGGGCTCCTCTCGCTCTTGCCCTCCTCGATCACCTGGGCCAAGTGCATGGGGTCGAACTTGGTGATGAACGTCGTCAGCCGCAGGTAGCTGTCCTCGACCGCGCTCGACGGCGGCAGGTTGGTCGACCTGAACTCCACCTTGCGCCCGCCCGACATCACATACTCGGTCGTCTGCGTGTACGCTGTCGTTGATAAACAAAAAATATTAGAGAATGAATATATAGACATAGATCTATTATTGCCATTTAGTTTAGTTTTAATTAATATTATTAATAATAAAATGAATAAATAATAAAGGGCGTACCAGTGTTCTCGGTTCGGCGCTTGGTGGCGGCGTTGAAGATGTGGATGGCGTCGGAGTGGGGGTAGAGGAAGAGGACGTGGTCCAGCACGGTGTCGCCCTTGCTGGTCGACGTGGCCCCGAGCGCGGCGGCCAGCTCGGCGTCGAGCTGCAGCGGCTGGGCCGCTACGCTCCCGCCGCTGCCCGCGGCGGTCAGGCCGCCGGCGCCCTCGTAGCAGCGGAAGAGGCTGCCGTTGGTCCGCGGGTGCAGCCAGCACAGGGCCAGGATCAGTCGCTTCCACTTGATGTCCGAATTCAGACACGCCGCAATCGACTCTGCATTCGGACCCACATTAGCTTTGCCCGAGCGTGTCGTGTGTGTCGTGTGTGTGTGTGTGTGTCGCGTACCATCGGAGATGGAGGCGGGCACGATGAATTGGGCGGGGAAGGTGGACATGGTGTAGTTCTTGTTGACCTCGGCCAGGCGCCACTCGTCGGTGGGCAGGTTCTGTCGCTTGAACTCCTTCTGGACCGAAAAGAGCGGCCAACCCGACAGCTCCGATTGCAGCGGGTACTTCTCCTTGTTCTGGAACGCAAACAAATTCCTGTGTAACAATGTAGTTCGTCGTCGTCAACCTAATGCGTGTGTGCGGTTGTGCGTGTGCGTGTGCGGTTTGTTTGAGGCGCAGGTGCGTACTTGAGCTTGGTGGGGAAGAGAAAGTGTTTGAAGATCTTCTGGGTGGCCTTGTGCGCCTGCGGCTGGAGGAAGAAGAGGGAGATGATCCGGAAGTCCTTGCACGTCAGCAGGAAGCCCAACAGATGTCGCTCCTCGTGCTTGGCCTGGTCGAGCTTCACCACCACCGCCAACGGCACCGAGTTCTTCTTTTTCTGTGTGCGTGCGTGTGCATGTTCCATGACGAGTTGGTGGTGAGTCCATGTCGTGTGTGCGTGTGCGTGTGCGGTTGTTTGACTACCTTGACTGCGAAGATGAGGCGGAAGTTGGTGATCCACAGGTGGCCCCACTTGCCCTGGTGGAGGGCGTGGTGCGAGAAGAGTACGCCCTCCTGCTTCGTGAGAACTCTCTCTCCGCCCAGCAGGCCCAGCTCCTTCTCCTCCTCCTTCCGCGACTTGCGAAGCGCCACGCTGCCGTCGCCTGCACCGCGCACACACACGATCAGACAGCGCCCTCGTGTGCGCGTGCGGTGCGTGCGTGCGTGCGTGCGGCTTGTACCTTGTGCACTACTGGCGCGCTTCTGCTGCGGGTCCTCGTCCTCAGAGTCAGAGTTGACGCTGACCGAAAGCGAGGGCAGGTCGCCGGCCTGGTGCTGCTGCTGCTGCTGCTGGGGCTGGGGCTGGCCACCCGTGATGTAGTCGTCGAGCTCGGTTCGCTTGCGCCGCTCCTCGTCGACGATGTAGTGTCGCAGGCCGTCGACCCACTTGCGCGCCATCTCCTCGGAGTCGGTGGCCAGCGTGTAGACGCGCGTGGGCGTCCGGATCTCGAACGCCTTGCCGCCCTCGTCGCCGCCGGCCTCACTTCCATCCACGCTCTTCCTCTGCAGAGCGTCTGAAGGAGTGGAGTTGGTGGTGTTGCTGTTTTGTTCGTGGCTGCTGTCGTTCAGGCCTTGCTGCTGCGGATGTTGTTGCTGCTGCTGCTGCTGGGCTGCGCGCTTCCATCGGATCTCGGTGATGTCGGCGCAGTCGATCATGCCCAGCGGCGTGACGTCGCCCTTCTTGCGGTAGTAGTAGATGACGCCCTTGCGCTGCTGGAAGTAGCGCGTCTTCCATAGCTTCACGATGCCCTTCGGCGAGTGTTTCTGCAAGTAGCCCTCCAACTGGTGGTGGTGCGCAGTGGTCCCAGATCAGATCAGGAGGAAAGAAGGGCAAGATGATGATGATATAAGGAGGCATCCTCGCAGATTTGATGTGAGCGTTGGGGGGGGGGCAGAAGATGAATGCGCCACAATTTCACGCTCTTGGAGATGGAGAGGATGTACGCTCAATCGCAATTCGCACATCTCGAACAATTTCCTAACGGTGCAGATTTTGGCGATCTAGAAGGAAGCGAGCCCCCCCCCCGCAAAAAATGAAAAGCGAAAGATGGGGGGGCATACATCGGAGTGGTTGCGCCAACTCGCCATCTTCGTCCTAGGCTGGCGATCTTTCTATGAGATACCTGCCACTGCAATCAACTTGGTTGTTGTCGGCCGGAGTGAAAGTAACCTGGGTGGTGGTGTGCCGCGGTTGCCGGTATCCCACCCTAACCGAAGGCGCTTCGAGGAAGATGCAGAGTGACCACCCCACCACTCGACGCCAACCTTCACAGAGCCACGAAGAGGAGGCCACAGAAGAGTGCTGCGGTTACAGAAATGTACGGCGTGTGCTCTGGAGTACCAGGAAACACATTCCCGCCGCCTTTGCTTGCGTGACAGCCATTGGCCGAGGCCCAATTAATCATGCAAAAATATCCAACCACGCCGAGGTGGATCTACCTCTTATCTCTTAAATGTCTTTTTATATTTATATTGTTTGTTTGTTATTCGTTGTTTGCTCTCACAGCTCGACGGATGGCTTGCTCTTGAACTTGCGGGCGGAGCGGTCGCTGGAGCGATAGGTGAAGTTGTTGCCGTAGAGGGTCACCACTTGGCTCGACACCACAAACGTGAAGACGTTGTTGGCCTTCGGCACAACTGCACCACGCAGCCGCGATATTGAACGCACGCGAAGAAAAGGAGCGTGAGCACCACGCTTTACAAGTGTGTGGTGTGTGCGGTTGTGCGTGTAAAAGTGAAAATGGGCGCAGGGACCACCTCGCAGCTGGTTCTGTGGCGTGATGATCTGGAAGGTCTGTTCCGTTTCGAGCAGCACTATGCCCTCCAATCCGATCAGGCTCGGACACTTTGATCGCGTCACTGCACGCACAACGAATGATGATCAGAGCCAATCCATCGCGGCGGTGAAACGTCGAGCGTGAGTGCTCACCCTTGAGGCAGCACCCGTGCAGGTCGGCCTTCAGGAGCTTCGCGGTCAGCGGCGCTCTGCCAGCAGAAAACGCCAACACACACACACACACACACGCGCGCGCCAAGCCACGGGTGAGTTGAACGAAGTCACGGCGAACATATGGTTTGGGGCTGCCCCGAGGTACCCAGTAGCGTTGCCCACCAGGGAGTCGATATATTCCTTCCACATGGCGTGCAGCGGAACGTACATTTCGTATCTGGGACGAAATAAGAGAGAGAATGATGAATCAACCATCATCATCATCGTCAGTGAGTGAGTGAAGGACACGTGAATGGTGGTGGTGTACTTTCGCGCCTCCTCGGGTATCTTGAACATGTTCTTCTCTCGCTGCTCCTTGGCCTTCATGACCTTGGAGCGCTTCTTGTTTTGCAGCTTCTCGAGCCTCTTCTCTTCCCGTTGGAACGGCGTGGTCCGCTCCTTCACGTTGTCCAGCATCACCGTCTTGTCCTTCACTGTTTTTTCACGCGCGTGCGAGTGCCCAGGTCAGTCAGCCGAGCCACCTCACGTAAGAGCGGATTGCCAACGCATACATTTGTGGGTCCAAACTTTGCTGTTGTCGTTGCCCTTTGCCACCACGCTCATCACAAGTTCGCACACATCCTGGACAGGATTCGCGCAACCGACTCATCTCGATTAATTCGCAATTCACTATGTCAAATATCTCGGGAGAAGATTTAAATACCTGTTTCGTTTTACTGCCGCCCTGCCCTTCGATAACGACTCGAGGAAGTGGCGAGTAGAGGCCCACATCGCCTTGTGGCTGTTGAGATCGCGATGAATTCAGGTTCTCCTTCCCCGTTGATGACGCGCTGCCCAATTTGTGTGTTGCTGCTAGCTCGGCAACGAGCTCTTTATCATCGAGGCGCCGTCTCTTCTGCTGGCTCGGCTGCATTTTGGAGGCAATCAATTAATTATTTGATTATTTCGTTGCGTTCCGAAACGGCCGCGCCAAAAAATAAAACAAAGGAACGTACCACGCCAGATCGAAAGTGGCGTGCAAAGCGTGTGTGGCGCCCTACTCACGCTGGCAGGGAGGATCAGCGGGCCATAGTACGTGTGGACAGGTGGGCGGGGCGGGGTGGCAGACGATCGGTCGGCCGCGATTGCGGGCCTGCTCCTCGGCGCCAGCTTGGCCGCGATGGCCTCGCAATGGGCGGCTGCGAAGAATAAAGGTGCAGTTCTCTGTCCCAGAGCCAAAACGATATTCCGCTGCCGGGAATCGAACCCGGGGCGCATGGGTGAGAACCATAAATGTTACCGACTACACCACAGCGGATTTGTTAGTTGCGGCAAGGAAAGAGAGTTGTTGGAAAGGACAACTCCGCCAAAAAATATAAAATATATAAAATATATAAAAATATTTAAAAAAAACCACGAAGTACTTGCAGACGTCTCTCATCTGCCTTCAAGATGGTACGTGCCTGCTTCTGGTGATTGATAGCAACCGTCTTATCATGCTGTGCCATTATTTTACCTGCAGGCAGCGAGTCGGTTGTTGAAAGAGTATCGAGCATTGCAGAAGGAAGGCGCAGAGGACATCGTTCTCTACCCCAAGGATGAGGGCGATCTTCTACACTGGCGAGCGTACATCATCGGCCCACCAGACACCCCCTTCGAAGGCATTTGCATCCCCTCCTGCAATCTCTTTTTGATGTGTTGTGTATTGTGAGGCTGACCCCTTTGCTGCACCGCAGGCGGACGGTTTGAGCTGGACATCGCGGTGCCGAAGAACTACCCCCTGCGGCCGCCCAAGATCTACTTCATCACTAAGATCTTCCACCCCAACATCCACTTCAAGACTGGCGAGATTTGCCTGGACCTGGTTTGCTCTTCCTTCACGTTGAGGGGTGTCTGTAGGTTGTTGTGCTCACACACAGCGTTCTGTCCCACCACAGCTCAAGAACGCCTGGTCGGCCGTGTACACCCTGCAGTCCGTGTGCCGATCCATCATCGCCCTCCTCTCGCACCCAGAGCCCGACTCGCCCCTCAACTGCGACTGTGGTAAGCACGCCCCCGTGTGCGTGTGTCGTGTGTGTTGTGTGTGTTGTGTGTGTGGTGTGTCGTGTGTGTGTGTGTGTGTTGGTGTTCGTGCGGTCTTGCTCACGCTCGGGTTGATGCGCCAAAGGCAATCTTTTGCGAAGCGGGGATGTGCGGGGCTACAACTCGCTGGCGCGGATGTACACCAAGCTCTACGCGCACGCCCTTCCGCCCTCCCTGACCGGCGAGTGAGCCTCCTCGAGTTCTTTCCGCGGTGTGTGTGTTTGTACATAACAGCGACCAACAAACAGGTGATCGTCGCCTTTCTATTCCATCATCGCTCCTCCGGTCGAAGAAGAGGAGGAGGAGGAAGAAGTGGGCTGGCGTTGCTTGCGGGGTGGCGGGTAGGGGAGGGCGGGCACGCGGATCTTGCGCAGGCGCGAAGCAAAGGCCGCGTTCACGCTGAACCTGTCCGTCGGCTCGAACTTCCCCTTGACCGGCTGCTTGACCAACAGCCCCACCCGCGATCCTTTTGTGTGTCGTGTGCGTGTCGTGTCGTGTGCGTGTCGTGTCGTGTCAATGACTGAGCAACAGTTGTTGGTGGTGGTCTCGCGTGCGAGCTCTCGAGAGCATACCTTGGAGCGGTGAGATGAGGGAGAAGAGGGTGCGCTTCAGGTCCTTGTCGGGGATGGCGGTCTCGTCCTGCAGCTCCCGGAGGGAGAATTCCTGGCCGAACGCGAAGCGGTGGAGCACGCACATCATGGCCGTCGTGACGGTGAAGAAGTACCGGCTCTCGCCCAGCACCACCTGCATCTCGGCCGTGCCCTGCTCACCCAAATAAATGTTGGTATTCACCGCACGACACGCACGACACGCACGACACGCACTACGCACGCGCGTACCATGTGCGGAATGTATTGGAGGCGCCTCTGGGGATTCTCGGCGAGGTAGGCCGCCGCGAAGGCGTCCCACTTCTGTTGCACTGAACTCGGCAGGACGTAGCTGCGCACCACCACCACCACCGTCATCACCACCATCATCACCACTCCTCGTTGTGCATCATGACCCCCAGAGGGAGGTGCTGGTACCTCTTGGGCCAGTTGGCGAGAGGGACGCCGCGCCAGCTGCGCATGTCGGCGTCGGTGAGGTCCTTGGAGGCCGGAGGGAGGATGCGCCGGCGAGGCCACAGATCGGCGGCCAGCAGTCGCACGCTCACCAGCGCCCCGCTCTCCTCGCCCTGTCGCACCTGGCAGCACCCTCCCCCCCGAAGCCACGGTGAGGCTCGAGTCGACGACTGGGGCGTGCGTTGCGTGTGTTGCACGTCCGGTGCGTTGCGCGCGACACGCGTGTGCGGCAGGTGCGGCACTGACCTTGTCTTTGGCGGCCGATTTCTGCATTTCCTCCATTTCGAAGGAGAACTGGGCATCGCTGACCATCGCCTCCATGAGCGCACCGAAACCGCTAAAGCTCGGAAAGCGACCCACGAGCTGTGCCACCGCGCGCTCCACGTGAAACCTGTCGCACGGCACGCACACACGACACAAACCACACACGCACGCGCGCGGTTGAATGAACGAGTGCGACTGAGAGCGGCGCGAGTGGTTGAGCGTCACCTGTGGTTCTGTCCGGGGCCAATGGAGAGGAGGCGGCCGGCGAGGGCGTTGGCAAAGTGGAACTCGAAGGCGGCCGCGTTCCTGCCCATGTACGGCAGGCTGCTCTCCAACAGCGGCCACAGCTCGTCCTCCACCTCCTTGGGGCTTCGCTCACCCGCACTCCTGCCCACACCATCGAATGAGCCTCGTGTCCGTGTGCGGCGTGTGCGGTGTGTGTCGTGTCGTGTACTTGAGGGTGCGGTCCAGATGGGCGACGATAGGTCTTGGCGAGCGGGTTGAGGAAGTAGGGCAGCGTTTGCTCAAACGCCCGCTGGAAGCCGGGCTCCGGGGCGGTGCCAAAGGTGGATACGAGCCGCTCCTGCTGTATGCGCCGCCAGTCGACGACGGCATCGAGCTTGGCCTCCTCGCCGGTGGCCGTCTGGGCCGCGACAATGGCAGCGGCCGCAGCAACGGCGTCGGCCTTAGTCGCCGCGAAGTAGGCCGCGCGCACGATGTTCACGAACTCGGGCGTGTCGCGCAGCGACGCGTAAACTCGCTTCAGCTCTGTGCACAACGCTGTTAGTACACACGACGCGCGACGTATGATGCTCGACGCACGACACGCACGACACATAACACGACACGAGCGCAGGTGTCATGCACGCACCTTCCCAGTTGCCGGCGGCGAAGAGGGCGCTCACGCGGTGGGCCAGGGCGGCCCTCCGATGTCGGACAACGAGGTCGACCAGCGCCGGCGGCTTGGCGAACCAGCGCTGCCAGTCCCGCTTGGCCTTGGCCCTCCTGGCCTCTTCTTCCCGCTCCTCCCGCTCCTCTTCTTCATCATCTTCCTCTTCATCTTTGCGTTGCTTCTCCCAATTCAGATCTTCGTTCGTGTTCGCCACCGCGGCTGGCTGCTGCTTCTCTTTCCCCTTGACCAGTGGCTCTTGGTCATCGTCGAGCTCCATCTCGTACTCCTCGCCTTCTCCCTCGTCGCTGCTGTCGTCCTCGCCGCCGCCGGCGTACCGCCGCATGAAGGCCGCGCGCCTTCGCGCCAACTCCAGCTCCATCGCGTCTTCCTCCTCCTGCGCCCCTTCATCCCCGTCTTGGTCTTTATCGTCATCGTCGTGATCGTTTTCCTCCTGCTCTGCTTGCTCCTCCTCTTCTTGAAGGTACCGCTGGTAGATCGCCAGTTGTTCCTACCCATGATGACACATAACCGTTTGTTGACGTCGTGAGCCTCGCGAAGAGCTTTCGCGTGCACCGCACGACACACGCGACACGACACACACGACACGGAAGGGTGAAACGGGACCGTACGAGGAATCCCTTGTTGGGCTGCGCGGCTGGGCGCTTCATCTTGACAAAGGCAAACGCCTTGGCCAGCGGCCTGCTCCCCCGCATTGAGCATGAGAGCAACGTTCAACAAATTCACTCACAACTCTCGACACACAGCACAACTGAAGGAGGAGGAGGAGAGGGAATGGAACAAGCACCAGCGGTGGCGGCGCATGAGGTGGGCTATGCACAGGGCGGCAGCGCGCGAGTTGCCCGACTTGCAGTGCACCAGGGCCACCTCACCCTTCCTCTCGGCCTCGTCTGCACACGCACTCGGAGGTGTCAGCTGTGTGCTTGCCGGCTGTAACTTGCCACCACACATGGAGCACGTACCGAGAAAGCGACTGTAGGGTTCGATGTGCTTCAGCAGATCTTCCTCTGCCGCGTCCAGCAAATCGATCTTCATATGTATAATCGCGAGTAGCGCAAATCGTCACATGATTACTCGCTCAAATGAGCTTGGCAGAGGGAAGGAGGAGCGTACGGAGTGGTAGCGGTAGCAGGAGGACTCCTGAATGAAATGATTGGCGGTTTGCGGCGCGGCAGCATTCACGATTGCCGAGATGTTGTACTCAATCAGCAGCTCCCTGTTTGCTGCATTGAATTCCGATCCCAAGTAGAGGAAGTTGGGGATCAGCAGCGTGGCCTCCATCTTTTTGTCCTTGAGCCCACACAGCACTTGGTGTCAATATTATTTTATCTTATGTTTCATTTTGTTGTATTTGCGTGGTGTGTGGAACTTTACAGTCAAAGAGAGTGTAGAGAGTAGTAGCAATGTAGCGGTGGCTTTGTGACATATTAACATGCAAGTAGCAGGATGGAGTTGTTGAAGGAGCTGATCCTGGTGTGGGCTCGTGATGACGCTGCGTTCGAGGGCGCTACGAGAAGTCCCACACTGTTGCGAAGGAGGAGGAGGAGAAGGTGGTGGTCAGCGGCGTGGGCGAAAAGCACAACGCCAGGTGGGGGCACCACCGTACCCTTGACCGTCTTGTCGCGACTGCCAGTGACGAGCTTGCAATCATCAAAGTGCAGGTCGCACAGCGAGTCGGTGTGGGATTGTAATGTTGTCTGCCATGTGATAAAAAGAAAGAAAAAAAACAACAATAACAACAGAAAGAAGACGATGTGAGCGGAGATCGATGTGCATCAAATGATAGACAAAGTCCTCTCGAAGAGGACACGTACGAGTTGTTTGCCTGTGTGGAGATCCCAGACCACGATCGTCTTGTCCTGCGCGCCCGATATGATCTTGGTTTCGTCGAACTGAAGGCACATGAGCTTGTTGCTGTGGCCCTGCAGCGTGTCCGTGTTCCTGTACGTGTTCACGTCCCAAAGCTATTGTTCACGACAATCACGAGCCTTAGCACGAGCCATATACACATGCACACACTGTACAGTGGAAAGGGCCAGTCGCGCTGCCGCACCTTGATTGTGTTGTCCCAGGAACCCGATACGATCCTCGTGTCATCGAATTGCACGCAGCGAACCGAGGACTTGTGGCCCTTGAGCGTCTGCGCACATCGCATCATCGCCAAGTCCCACACTGTACGACACCCAGCTGGTTAGTCTTGCTCCATGCGGGTCACATCGTTCACTTTGCAGCCATGTCATGGCTGAAGGAGAGAAGGGATACCCTTGATCGTCTTGTCGGCGGCACCGGATATGATCTTGGTGCTGTCGAACTGCAGACACCCAATCTATTTGATCAAATAGAGTTGGCACACGCGTCAGTCAGTCACGATTCCCATACGGAACAGGGTGCAGCGGCGCGTACTCCCCACGAGTGGCCCTGGAGGTCGGTGATGAGCTTGCCCGAGTTGATGTCCCACACGTTTAACCGCTTGTCGTCACTCCCCGACACGATCTTGTGCTTGTCGAACTGCAGTGAGTGTGGGTCGTGGGTGCGGAGCACGTGGAGTCAGCACAAGGCCCGAATAGCGCCAGATAGAGAAAAGAGAGGGGGAGGGGAGTGAAAAATACCTGAAGACACCACACTTGGCCGGTGTGGTTTTTGAAGGTGCTGATCGTTTTGCCCTTCTCCAGATCCCAGAGTCGCAGCGTCTTGTCCCTCGAGCCCGTTATCATTTGGTTGCCTAGTACAGGCGGGGAGAGAGAGAGAGAGAAATGTAAGCAATGCCGGGGTGAGACACAGCCGAGTACGACTCGGCTCTGCGTGCGGCGTGTCTCTCTCTGTCGGTGTGTGAGTCGTCGTACCGTCAAATTGCATGCATATGATGCCGCCTTCGTGGCCGGTGAGTTTCATCTTGGGCACGTATGCGCCTTTGTCAGCGTCCCAATCTAAGCGCTGTACCGTTTTGTCGTCACTGCACCACACGAACCACCGGGACCCAGCGTCAGTCACCGTACGCACGACACACACGACACACACATACAACACACACGACACACGGAAAGCAGTTGTGTACCTCGCGGTGATCATGTTGTAGTTTTCGTCGAACTGGACGCAGCGCACGGTGTTCTTGTGGTGGGTGAGGGTGGCCAGCGAGTACTTGCCGGTGTCCCAGTTGCGCTTCGTCCGGTGGTACTTCATGAAGTAGGACTTCCACTTGCCGTGGTCCCGTCGCTCGCGCTCGAGCTCCTCGTCCTCCTCGGGCGTGCCTCTGTACATTTTGTACATCTTCGCCATCTTCTTGCCCCCGTACGACGGCGTCGCTTGTCCCGACGTCGACCCACCCGCGGCTGACGTGGCAGACGACGAAGATGACGAAGAAGAGGAGGGCCACAGCGAGAACCTGCGCACCGTCGTCGCAGCGGGCTTCTTGATGATGGGCGCCTTGTTGTGTTCTGTGTGGCGTCGACGAATTCATTCTTCAGCGCTGCACATGCGCACGCGAGTGAAGGGCGGCGGCAGAGAGGGCCAAACGGTACCAGAAGCCATGTCAAGCGGCAGCGGCTTGGGCCGGTAGATTTGGTTGGAGCTGATGCGTGCGGCGGCGTCGGCTCCCCAATAGCGCGCGTAGAGGCTGTCGCATGGTGGTGGGTAGGTGAGTGAGGACCAGGCCACAGCCATGGCGCGCGCGCGCACACACACACACACACACACACACAAGTGCAGCATGGCTATACTCGGTCAAGAAGTAAGAGTACCTCTTCCACAGGGTGTTGTCCGAGGTGAGTGAATGCCATTCGCGACACACGCTGGCGGCGCTGCTGAGTTCGCTCTCGTTGAGATACGAAAAGACGTGGATCGTCACCTGTATAGATGGAAAGCGCGGCGAAGAGGGGATGAGTCGTAGAAGGAATGAGAAAGAGAAAAGGCCAAGTGCCATGCTTCGCGCCGCTGCGGATGTCGTACCTCGTCTGGAATGACTGAAAAGTAGCCCGTGTTGCGTGAGCACGTGACGTTGTGCCGCTTCTGCGTATCAAAATGGAAATGAATTAACAATTAAATACAAAAAAAGATTTAAAGAATTGATCCATGGCGAGCCGGATGGAGAAGACGACGTACAATAAATTCGAGGTAGCTCTCTACGGTGGATATCTCTGTGTTCAAGTCCTTGGAGACGGAGGAGAGGCGGAAGACGAAGTTGATGAAGTGATCCTCGAGCTGATTTTCGCAGATGAACTGGCCAATGTCTTCGATGACCTCCTCCAAGTGGCCCATCTTCGAGCGCAAGGTGTGGAAGGCAAATTCGCGATCGCCCGCGGTGGGCGGTCCATTCGTTTCGATCTGCTGGTCGATGTCGTTCGTGGCCATGGTGTCCATCATGGCGCCGTCGTCGTCTAGGTCCTCCCCCTCCAAGCCCAGAGGGCCGCCTTCTTCAGCCTCGTCCACGATCGATCGTGCAGCCTTCTTCTTTTTCTTGTTGTGAATGAGGTACTCGAGCTCGAGCGAATCGTGCAGCCCTCGCCCTCGTCGTTGATCGACCTGTTCTTCCAGTCCGCTATGAGGAGATGCCCCTGTTGCTGCTGAAGAAGAAGCTGCCGCTCCCTCACCTCCCCCTCCTCTCTCTTGTTTCCTCTTCAAAATGGTGAGAGGGGAAAGAAGCTGCTGGTGCTGATGCGAAGGCTCTGCCACGATGTCGCTTCTTTGATTCGGCTCAATTATGCAAGAAGAAGAGTGATCCCTCCCCCGTTACGCGGCGTAGAGAAGAGAGGCTGTGGTGGAAGATGTGCGATGTATGGCGCTGGTGAATGAGGAGGACGTTACGCAGGCCGGCGGCGCGTGTGGATTATTGCGTCGCAGGGCAGGCCAGCGTGTGGCAGACAAGTAATTTGAACGATTTTGAGGATGTCTCTACGTGCATGCGAACAGCACCGCGTGGGTGTCCCGTGTGGCCAGGTCGCAGTTCGTGTGTTGTTCGCGACAAGGAAGGACGAGTCACGCCCAAGCGCGCCGGGAAAAATCCTGTCTTGGGACTTTCTGTTTATTTCGTTTTTCCTTGATGATTTCTTTTTTTCATTAATGTGGTAAGGGTCTCTCGTCATGCCGCGGACGCGGAAAAGATGGAGGCAAGGAGGAGGACGCAAGAGAGGCTCACATTCGCGAACAACGTAGGCATGGACGTTGCCATGCCCGAGCGTACTAGGCCGCTCGTTAAGCCAAAACTAGTTGCGACCACGTCAGTCGTGCAATTGAAGAACAGTTTCATTAATCGCGCAACATCTCGAACGCCCTCAATCTCCAAACCCGACCGATACAATACACCGACCCCCGAACAACACGACTATAGTACACCCCCCCATAGATTTAATAAAACAATCAAAACCATCTACATTATCACATCGAAAAAACACCCCACTCGCATTGCAACCGAATCCCACCCAATCGGATTGAGCCTAAAACACCAAACCACCACCAAAACCAATAACAAAACACACCGATGCCTCACAACACCGCCACGCACACCACGCGCAA